GCCAATGAGTAGGAGAAGGAGGAGGAGGGAACCCATCAACAATGCTACATCCACCAAAACTTTTACCAAATTTTTTATTTGAATCCCAAATCAATGTGCGTCATAGGATTAGTGGGTCCCACAAACTTTCACCCACTACCCGATGACTATCAATGTGTCACGTCATTTGAGATCTAAAATTTGGTAAAAGTGTTGGTGGACATATCATTTCCTGGGAATCCATTCACTTGTGTGTCACTATTTAATTATCTGCATGTATGTTATTAAATGATGTATGTGCACAAAATATCTTGATTGTGTGAAATACATGAGAAGATGTGAAAGGAAACTCTTCCTTCCCGTTACGTTTAGTTGCTTTTTATGTATGAAGCATGCAGATAGAGTGGGAAAGGACTATATAAATTAGGACTTTATTGAAGTGTGTAAACATAAGATTTAATTCCATACTCTATGTTTCATAGGAGTTAATGGCATTTTAAGAGGAAAAGTAGGACTTATTGGTTTTTCCCATATATTTATATCCAAATTATTGAGATGTTCAAGAAGTAACGGACATTTAGCCACTGAGTGATGGTACCCATAATTTAATAGGGTATACAAAAGAAGATAGGCGAACATTATTTCCCGTTGTAGTATCCTGTCTGCTTCCCCCTAGAAAGCTTCACTGCCTGAGATTGGTCACTTTGACTCCTTATTCAGATAAGTCTCTATAAATGTAGAGTTCAGAGGTCTGGAAGAACCTTTGTAGCTGAAATGGAATGATGTGGAATGTGAACATCTTTGCTGTGGACAATGCATTCCTTTCTTGAAGCAGTAGGGAAACTCATGAGAGGAACTCCTGGAACTTTTTCCTCCCTTCTTTTTCCTTTTTCCAGTGGCGAGCTTTTTTTTTTTTTCCTTTTGTGGTGGGTGACGGTGGGAATGGTTTCATGATGAAAAAGATTGTTGAACTGGTGATACAGTTTTCATTGGGGAATGACATAAGCTAGCTTGCTCCTTTATTAGGATGATCAGCAAGCTGATGTTTGACTTGGGTCTGGATCTTGGCGAGATGTTTCAACAATTGTTGGCCTCACACAGAATCTGATGCATTTGACTCCGTAAGTTAATAAGAGCTATTCATCCTGCCAAAGCTAGGATGCAAGAATGTTTAATTTTAGTAAATTAGGTGAAAGTTTCTGGCTAATGTGGTTTTTAAAAATTTACTCCTAGGCTATAATCTCTTAGCATCACTCCTTTTCCAGTTTACTTTAAATTGCTTCTCGTCTGGGTTTAACTTTAATATTTTTGGTCGGGTAAATTGAAGATTGTTAGCTAGTCTTTCTGATACATTAGTGTATACTTATGAACGAATCTGGTGATATTAACCACCTCTTCCTTTGGGTCCTGCTCTGTAAGGCACCCTATCACAAAATCGATACAAGATACACTCCAGCTGGTTGTACCTCTATTTTCTCCAAATATTTTATTGAGAGGACATGTAATATTTCCTTAATACAATGTCATTTTTAACATTAAATTCAGTTCTGAAATCCATTGATAGTAAGTGTCAATAATCATCATTTCATTATTCATTTAGAGTAACTTGAGAAAAGGTTCCAAATGGGGTGATTTGATGGTTCCTGAGCTGTATCTCATTTTAAATAACGCTGGCTTCAGTTTTTGGACTACTGTTTGTCAGGACCACATGAATCACTGAATCTGAAAGAATTCCTTCTTATTGTTGTGATGAATTTACATGAGACCTGAACTGCTAAATCTCCTTTTCATTGTCATTTGTTGCTGTTATTCATTCAGTATTATATTTCATTCTGTTGCATCTAATTCACAGGAAGAGCTGGAACAGCTTGAGAAAATGGAGGCTGCCTCCGCTGCTTGCAATGAGTAAGTATGAGAATATATTTATTCCATATATTAATTTACTATTTAACTTCCATTAATTTATAACTCTGGGACTGTATCGATCTTCTAATTGGATGTTATGATGGTTTGGCGCCTAGAATGCTGAGTAATGTGGAATCAAGACCAGATCCGCTACTCCCAGTNCTTCCAAGTTCCAACTGTACCACCCCAAACCCAGCCAAAAGCTCGCAAACTCAGAACCCTTTTCCCTCTACTGATCAGAGAGTGATTCAGATTCTCTAAGGACTTTCACTCAATAGTTTTGGTTCATTTACAATGACCCATTTCTTTGCTTATCTATCTGGGTGATTTTTAGGGTTTGATTCTAGTGCTAGTATTTGGGTGTATAGCGAGAGAATTTTTGGTTTTGTATAATCAGAGTGATGCAATCGGGTAGTTCAGAGCAGGTGCGATCGGTGGCGGCAGCGACGGACACGAGAGGGAAGCATCGGATTTCGGCTGAATTGAAGCGGCTTGAGCAAGAAGCTCGGTTCTTGGAGGTTAGTTCTCGTTGTGACTTATATTCTTTTGCGTTCTTGATGTTTTGATTTTTGCTAATCTTTGGTGGTTGGGTACTTTTTGGTTGATTTTCTGGTTAACGCGGTGTTATTGACTTAATTGACTTTGACTGGAAAAGTCGTCATTTTGAAGTGGGTTATGAATTCCTTAAAGAAATTGTATGTGTTAGTTTTGGTGCATTGTTGGTATAGTGTAAGAATCAATCTTGAAATGGGCCGTTTATTTCTAATTAATGGCATGGGGTACTTTAATCTTTATGTGAAAATCTGAAGGAAATTTGATTTGTATTTTTCCTCAGCATCTNGCCAATGAGTAGGAGAAGGAGGAGGAGGGAACCCATCAACAATGCTACATCCACCAAAACTTTTACCAAATTTTTTATTTGAATCCCAAATCAATGTGCGTCATAGGATTAGTGGGTCCCACAAACTTTCACCCACTACCCGATGACTATCAATGTGTCACGTCATTTGAGATCTAAAATTTGGTAAAAGTGTTGGTGGACATATCATTTCCTGGGAATCCATTCACTTGTGTGTCACTATTTAATTATCTGCATGTATGTTATTAAATGATGTATGTGCACAAAATATCTTGATTGTGTGAAATACATGAGAAGATGTGAAAGGAAACTCTTCCTTCCCGTTACGTTTAGTTGCTTTTTATGTATGAAGCATGCAGATAGAGTGGGAAAGGACTATATAAATTAGGACTTTATTGAAGTGTGTAAACATAAGATTTAATTCCATACTCTATGTTTCATAGGAGTTAATGGCATTTTAAGAGGAAAAGTAGGACTTATTGGTTTTTCCCATATATTTATATCCAAATTATTGAGATGTTCAAGAAGTAACGGACATTTAGCCACTGAGTGATGGTACCCATAATTTAATAGGGTATACAAAAGAAGATAGGCGAACATTATTTCCCGTTGTAGTATCCTGTCTGCTTCCCCCTAGAAAGCTTCACTGCCTGAGATTGGTCACTTTGACTCCTTATTCAGATAAGTCTCTATAAATGTAGAGTTCAGAGGTCTGGAAGAACCTTTGTAGCTGAAATGGAATGATGTGGAATGTGAACATCTTTGCTGTGGACAATGCATTCCTTTCTTGAAGCAGTAGGGAAACTCATGAGAGGAACTCCTGGAACTTTTTCCTCCCTTCTTTTTCCTTTTTCCAGTGGCGAGCTTTTTTTTTTTTTCCTTTTGTGGTGGGTGACGGTGGGAATGGTTTCATGATGAAAAAGATTGTTGAACTGGTGATACAGTTTTCATTGGGGAATGACATAAGCTAGCTTGCTCCTTTATTAGGATGATCAGCAAGCTGATGTTTGACTTGGGTCTGGATCTTGGCGAGATGTTTCAACAATTGTTGGCCTCACACAGAATCTGATGCATTTGACTCCGTAAGTTAATAAGAGCTATTCATCCTGCCAAAGCTAGGATGCAAGAATGTTTAATTTTAGTAAATTAGGTGAAAGTTTCTGGCTAATGTGGTTTTTAAGAATTTACTCCTAGGCTATAATCTCTTAGCATCACTCCTTTTCCAGTTTACTTTAAATTGCTTCTCGTCTGGGTTTAACTTTAATATTTTTGGTCGGGTAAATTGAAGATTGTTAGCTAGTCTTTCTGATACATTAGTGTATACTTATGAACGAATCTGGTGATATTAACCACCTCTTCCTTTGGGTCCTGCTCTGTAAGGCACCCTATCACAAAATCGATACAAGATACACTCCAGCTGGTTGTACCTCTATTTTCTCCAAATATTTTATTGAGAGGACATGTAATATTTCCTTAATACAATGTCATTTTTAACATTAAATTCAGTTCTGAAATCCATTGATAGTAAGTGTCAATAATCATCATTTCATTATTCATTTAGAGTAACTTGAGAAAAGGTTCCAAATGGGGTGATTTGATGGTTCCTGAGCTGTATCTCATTTTAAATAACNTCATTTAGAGTAACTTGAGAAAAGGTTCCAAATGGGGTGATTTGATGGTTCCTGAGCTGTATCTCATTTTAAATAACACTGGCTTCAGTTTTTGGACTACTGTTTGTCAGGACCACATGAATCACTGAATCCGAAAGAATTCCTTCTTATTGTTGTGATGAATTTACATGAGACCTGAACTGCTAAATCTCCTTTTCATTGTCATTTGTTGCTGTTATTCATTCAGTATTATATTTCATTCTGTTGCATCTAATTCACAGGAAGAGCTGGAACAGCTTGAGAAAATGGAGGCTGCCTCCGCTGCTTGCAATGAGTAAGTATGAGAATATATTTATTCCATATATTAATTTACTATTTAACTTCCATTAATTTATAACTCTGGGACTGTATCGATCTTCTAATTGGATGTTATGATGGTTTGGCGCCTAGAATGCTGAGTAATGTGGAATCAAGACCAGATCCGCTACTCCCAGTGTANTATTAAATTACTGTTTAATTCATGGTTCAACTGTATCGATCTTCTAATTGGATGTTATGATGGTGACCGCGGATCTTACGACTCATTACACCTTAGTTCTGGTCTAGGCGATGAGGGTCAGTAATATACCTCTTGCTCATTTATGCAATGCTTCATAGTTATCAATCTTTATTCGAGGAGTGATTCGTTTATTTTACTTTGGCAGAACAAATGGCCCTATAAATCCATCCTGGGATCGATGGTTTGAAGGACCACAAGATTCATCAGGTTGCAGGTGCTGGATACTGTGATGATTCATGCTAATTTCAACAATTGCTCCATTTCTTCCTAGAGTTTTCGAGATTTGGTACCTTTACAACATGTCACAAATAGAATGCGGTACATTGTTCTTGGAAGTGTCAAATGAAATGCTCCATTGTGCAGAAAATTATATATTGTTTTTCCTTTATATCGAATCGAAACGAACAACTTGTCTGTGTTTCTGGGTTAGTTTTGTTATCATTCAATGCTATGTGACATTGTGTAGAAGTAAACAGTTTTTTTAAAGGAAGGTTCAAATGAGAAACAGCAAGTTGTGGAAAGTGATACCAGAGATGTGTTTCTGTAACAATCCTTTAAAAACACACGGTTAGACTTTTTGGCCCAAACTATAAAGGGGGATAGTGTAATTCCTCCTTTTCAGGTCTCTTTGCGGGTCTGGTTGATTAAGAAGGAAAGAATGATGGAGCG